TCACCTCCTCGACCTGCTGGCCACAGGTCTTCCCTGATTCCCCTCTTGTGGGGATGCTGATTTTATACTTTCACTCTCCCCTATTTCTGCAGGAGAACAGCTCGCTGTGTTTCGCACCCCGGATGGCCAGGCCTTCGTGGTGGATGCTTACTGCCCTCACCTGGGAGCCAACCTGGCTGCTGGTGGCCGCGTCGTGGGCAACTGCATCGAGTGCCCGTTCCATGGCTGGCAGTTTCGAGGAGAAGATGGAAAATGCACCAGCATTCCCTACGCTGAAAAAGGTGAGGGAGCTCCCCCCATGTCTGCAGAACCAGTAGTGTCCTGTGTGCCCTCATCAAAAGCTACTTCAAGGGAAAGTGGTCTTTATAATAACTCCCCGTCCATCCTGCTCACATGTTTCATGCAGCGCCCCAAGTATCCTCTTGAGTTGTTCATATTGGGGCAAAATGTTTGAGTGGCCTTTTGTATGTTAGATGATAGCTGGCTCTTTAGTTAAAATAAACAGCCTTCTTGACTTTGACAGTTCCACAACTCTTGCGTTCAGCAGACAGGGTGTAAGAGAAACTTTTTAACTCCGAGTAAGCCAGCAGCAAGGATGGATCCTGGGGAGTTACTGGGTTTCAGAAATCATTCTGTGCTCTATAGTGACAGCTTATATCACGTCAGTGCTTAAATGTGTCACATTAGCATGACAGAATGGTCTCTCAATAGCAATTTTGTCTCCTTTTAAGGCTTGAAGGGAACTTTTGGTTGGAATCCAGGAAAGCTCATCACAAACCTTTCAGATATGGTTTGCATTGACTGTGTAGGATGAACGTCTAACTTAAAGTTCACATGTAACGATTAGTTGATCTGGCTGCACTAGTTAGTTTAAATCACCAATTCTAGATGTGGCTGAAACCTGCAGACTCACCTTGAATTTGGCTTTGGCTTGTTCTTTTGGCTTAGTTACTTTCTTGGGAAGCTCAGCTTTCTCTGACTGATTGACTGGGACAGCAGTGAAAACATAGAGTGCAGCAAAAGTCAGTCTTTTTACTAAACAGATTATTTTTCCCAAAGTGAAAGAAACATTCCATCTATATGGATAAGATGAACAATTTATAGATGCATCAAACAACAATTCCTGGTTTTGTGTGTGTTATTTTCAGAAAGAAGATTAATACTGTCTTGTTTTCCCATACATACTCAACTCAGGAGCTGCATGCAAATGAAAATTTGGTTCCAAGTAATGAGCAAAGATGAGTTCCACCACAAAATGAGAAGGAATGTTCTGGACATACTCAAAGGCTTGCCAAGACGCAGTTTCATCTGAAACGTCTGTATTCAAAGTCATTGTTACCCACAGTTATTGAAAGAACAAAACTGCAAAGAGTTGCTCTGCTCCTATACACCCAAATAGGGCAGGTTGGTGTGAACAGATTTAAAAGCCATCTGTGCTCATGCAGGCCACTGTGATGGAGAGAGATTTTGGAGACTAGGATGGGCAGCTCCTCCAGCACCAGGCTTGCAGGGGACTGACAGTGAAGGAGAGCCACAGAGCCCAGTGTGCTGCCAGATGGAGCTGGGGAAGGGTCCAGAGCACAAGTCCTGTGGGGAGCAGCAGATGGAACTGGGAGTGTTCAGCTGGGAGAAAAGGGTGAACAAGTGCCTTGAGAAAAGGCTCTACAAGTGCCTGACAGGAGGATGGAGCCAGGAGGGGGTCTGGTCTCTGCTCCCAAGGAACAAGGGACAGGACAAGAGGAAACTGGCTCAAGTTGCACCAGGGGAGGTTTAGATGGAGATGAGGAACAATTCCTTCCCCAAAGGGTGCTCAGGAGCAGGCTGCCCAATGCAGTGCTGGAGTCACCGTCCCTGGAAGTGTTCACACACCATGTAGACAAGGCCCTCAGTGCCATGGGTTAGTGGAGGCCTTGGCAGTGCTGGGGAATGGTTGGACTTGATGATCTTAAAGATAATTTCCAATCTAAATGATGTTGGAGCAAATCCAGAGGAGGCCACAGAGCTGTTGCGAGGGCTGGAGCAGCTCTGCTCTGGAGCCAGGCTGAGAGAGCTGGGCTGGGTCAGCCTGGAGAAGAGAAGGTTCCTGAAGGGGACACCTTAGAGCAGCTCCAGTGCCTGAAGGGGCTCCAGGAAACCTGGAGAGGGGCTTTGGACAAGGGCCTATAGGGACAGAACAAGGGGAATGGCTTTAACCTGCCAGAGGGGAGATTGAGATGAGCTCTTAGGCAGAAGCTCTTCCCTGTGAGGGTGCTGAGGCGCTGGCACAGGTTGCCCAGAGAAGCGCCCGGAGAAGCTGTGGCTGCCCCATCCCTGGCAGTGTTCAAGGCCAGGTTGCACACAGGGGCTTGCAGTAACCTGCTCTAGTGGAAGGTGTCCATGCCCTGTTGCAGGGGGTTGGGACTGGATGAGCTTTAAGGTCCCTTCAACCCAAACCAGTCTGGGATTCTGTGACTGTGTGGGGGCAGATGAAGCCCTTTTCACAATTTAACGAGATGCATCTCACCCAAAGCACAAGATTTTCTCAATCAGAAATCACGGTGATGGTCATCTCCTGCCCCCTTTCATATCCATTGACTGAAAGAGAAACATAATTTCTCTTGTTATTTTACCTCCCACATGACTGTACAAGGCTGAATAATAAGGAAGCACTTTTCTCTGCACTTGTTTGCAAATCAGAAAAAAACATGAAAGCAAAAGCCTTTCAATCCAGTAGAAACTCAATTTTCTGACAATTGGGTAAACACCAAAATTCATGTCACTGGAAAGAGCAGGTCTGTTCTTAAAGCAACACATGGTACTACTGCAGGATTGTAACAGAGAATGACTTGAACTCCAGAGGTAGAGATGACTTTTACTCCCTACACACCTCTAACTAAACCCATCTCTTTTTAGCTCTTAGAAACTTGAGGAGGGTCCATTGGTCCATTGATGCAGCAGACATTTACTGATTTGAACAGTTTTAAGAGTAGTGAAGGAGGCTGCAGAGCAGCCAGACCTGCTGCTTCTTTAAAAAAACCTCATGAAGGTTTTGAAAGCTTATGAAAACACCCAACTGAAATAAAACTGATCTAAGCAAACTTGCCTGTGAATTTCAGAAGCTGTTGTCATTCTTCAGCAGCCTGGAAGCTGGAAAAGTGTCACCAGAGAGACTGTGCCACATGACTGTCTCCCATAAAGATGATCTCTGAGCCGTGGTTCAGGACAAGGTGACCCTTAGTGCCAGCATGAGCTTTGGAGATGCCACTTTTAACTGAGTCCTTTCTGTGCTCCTCAGTGCCAGACTTTGCAAGGGTTCGGACCTGGCCGTGCTGCGAGATAAACGGGATGCTGCTGGTCTGGTACCACTGCGAGGGGCTCATGCCAACATGGGCAGTGCCAGAGCAGCGCGAGATCACCACCAAAGAGTGGGTGTTCTGCGGGCAGACGGAGCACCTGGTTAATGCACACATCCAGGTAGGGAGCCTGGTCCCTCTGTGAGGAATGTCCATGGTTCATGCCTGGGTCCTCTCCTATAGTCCAGTTCAGGGACATCTCCTCCCTGGCTGAGAGAGCTGGGGTTCAGCCTGGAGAGAAGAAGTCTCCTGAAGGGGAGACCTTAGAGCAGCTCCAGTGCCTAAAGGGGCTACAAGAAACCTGGAGAGGGACTTTGGACAAGGGCCTATAGGGACAGGCCAAGGGGAATGGCTTTAACCTGCCAGAGGGGAGATTGAGATGAGATCTTAGGCTGAAGTTCTTCCCTGTGAGGGTGCTGAGGCACTGGCTGGAGAAGGTGCCTGGAGAAGCTGTGGCTGCCCCATCCCTGGCAGTGTTCAAGGCCAGGTTGGACGGGGCTTGGAGCAATCTGCTCTAGTGGAAGGGGATTGGAACTGGATGAGCTTTGAGATCCCTTCCAACCCAAACCATTCCATGACTCCATGAATTAACCAGGCCCTGCCTGTGCTCAGTGTCATCGCTGCTACTGGCAGAGCTCAGACCTAGAAATACACCCTGTGCTGTACAGAGAATATGGCATATGTTCCTCAAACACGGCTTGTGAGCTTCTCAAGTGGAGAGCAGATGTTCTGGGTACTTAAAAGGAATCTGTTAATTTGCTTTGACTTATAGCTGATGTAATTTTAAAAAAGATTCTCTCCAAAGTGCGGCACTTACTGTCAGGAGGCTTTTCAGCTCATCACTCACCGAAATGGAAACGCAGTTACTTTGCTGTTAATCTTCATAAGCACCATCATACGCTGAGAAATGTGCCACAGAGAACAAAATGGCTCTTGCCTCCATCACCTCTCAGTTTAAATGAGTCAGGAAAAGGGAACTCGTGTGGCATTTAATGGAAGGGTCCACGGCTGGGTCCTGGGAGGGAGCAGGGACAGCTGCGGCTGGAGAGCGATGGGAGGCACTGGCAGGTTTGAAACTGGGCAATCCCTGGAGGTCCCTGGAAGGTTTTTATGCGCTTTCTGCTGAGCAGAACCCTTCTATGTAAAAAAATCAGTGACAAAAATGACCCTCAATCCAGAGCGCGTTTCTCTCTGAGGCAGTGCCTGCCTGCTCACTACATCACAACTAAGGTGAGTGGGTGAGAAAGGAATGGAGAGATATGAAGAAATGAAGGTGCATGAGGCACAGGAGATACGGCTCTGGGAATGTGCAGAGAACATGTGAGAGGCAAGAGTTAATGGGAGATTGATGGGATGGTAGTATTTATTTCATGTCTGCTTTTCAGTGCAGGCCGCTGTAGGCAGGTCTCGACTGGGGCTGGTCTGTGCTACTTGCCAAGCTGGTGGAAAGCTGCTGTGTTTGACTAATAAAGCAGTTAAGACTTCTCAAGAAGTACCATATTGTGGCAGGTTGATGGGGTTTAGAGCTTTAAAAGTATGTGAAAGCTACTCTAGAAGCACAGACACAAAAATGCTTTATTCCTCACAATTATTACAGGGCTAAAGGAAGGGCTTAACCAGAGTCCAAACTTCTTCAGAAGTTAACATGTATAGACTTCTTTGAGTTTAAAATGAACTCTGAATTTTCTGAGCTTCATGTTTAAATTATTCCTATACTCCAGTTAAGAACTGATCCCAGCCTGTGCCGAGGCCTCTTCCTCCAAACACTTGGTTGCTTCTCACTGCCCCATGCCCCTGCGAGCATCTCCGCTGTGCTATGGGCAGTATGCCCTGCCCTGTGCTGTGGTCACCCTGGTGCTGTCAAGTACAGGCATCTCCCACCCAGGTCAGCTCTTGCTAATGGCAAATTGTTCCCCATGACAGGAAATCCCAGAGAATGCAGCTGACTCGGCGCACCTGGCTTTCCTCCATGGACCAGCCATTCTGGGCGGATCTGATCTGAGATACACGAGGTCCAAGCTGTGGGATTTTATGAAGCACAACTGGAAGGTAAGACCTCAGCTCTCCTCTTAGCCATGAGGAGGTCAAAGTCTTTCAAACCAGGTCCCGTTTATACTTTAAAGCGTCAGTCCCACCTCGCCCCCTCTGCTGCATCCCCTTGTCTTCAGGTCCAGTCTCTTTCCTGTGCCTGAGAGTTTTTGCTGCACTCCTTCATCTCTGCTCATCTCTGCTCATGTCTAGATGGTCACAGCCAGCTCTTGTCACCGTTTCTCTGCTAGTATACCCCATCTCTTGCACTGAGCTGATCCTTCTCCACCCCTCCAGGCGGAGTGGTGGCCAGAGCCAGAGCCCAACAAGCACTGCTCCCAGATGCTGCTGCAACACACTGCAACCTTTTTTGGGAAGCACTTCTCCCTGATGGATTTGACAGTTTCAGCCAGGCAGGTATGTCCCATGCTGAAGGGCTTTGTCACCTGAAAAGCTGAGTCCTTGCCTATCATGCCCAACGTCACCTTTCCTACCGTGTGCATCAGATGCACAGTCCAGAAACTACACCCTGGCACCGGGGCTGCTCCACTGCTGGGGAGCATGGGGAATGGGAGGGTTCATAAGGACTGCTGTGCCCACAAAGTGGTGGGAATAATAAAAATGTGGTACCTGAGCAGACGCTGGTGACAATCCTGAAGGTCCTTCACACCACGATGTCACAGGTTTTTACAGTCACAAAATCACAGACTGGTTTCGGTTGGAAGCGAGCCAAAGGAAGGTGTCCCTGTGCATAGCAGGGGGTTGGAACTAGATGATCTTAAGGTTCTTTCCAACCCAAACCAGTCTGTGATTCTGTATTAGAAATTCAGAACAATACAAAACAAGTCATGGTACAAAACTTTGATAAGAGATGAATCTCACTGTAATTAGGGAATTATTACAAAGTGGATGTTCATTGTATGTTCAATTCTTAGATCCGTGCCATTTAGCACTGATATCAATGAACAGGAGAAAAAAAAAAAAAGACATTAAAATAACCTTACAAAGAATCTGCACACAACCAGACATTAAAGTAATAAATGAAGTAGCCTAAAACCCCAACAATTTCTGCACTCCTTCAATGAATCAAGGGTATGACCATGCAGCTGCATGTCTGGATGCACATCAGAGAGCACAGAACTTCATGTCATGCCAGATAATAAGCTGAACCTGATTTCAGCTAAAACCTGATGTGACTGTTGTAGCTGCAAAGGAGAAAGCCAGAACAGGAGTAAGGATGTTGTACTACCTACACACTGTATTGCAATTGCTGCTATTGAAATTGGAGCCCAGGATCGGTGTCAACAATCCCATAAGACTGTTCATGACCTGAAGGTAATTCAGTGAAGACCACCACCACCAAGTGAAGATTTGGAAGCATTTCCTAGATTAGAGGTTAAATTTGGAGCGATAAGTAGAGCACTGTAAAGTCTCATGAATTCCCATAGGCCCACAGCAAAGCCACCCAGCCCAGACACATCTGTAGATGTCCCAGGCCAGTGCAGGCTGCCTGGCTCTGGTGGATCTGCCCTGACCTGGGGAGCACCAACAACTGGGAAGTGGTCTGTGAATCCTGAGGTGTAGCTTTGGCTTTGTGCCTGTTACCTGGTGAAAAGACAGAGTAAATGGGGACTTGAGCACAGTCTAGGAGACATCTCAAACAGGTTTGAAGCTGTGGTAGTTGCTGTACCAGAGGGCTGGACCACTGAGGGCTTTGCCTTGAGGTTGCTCTGTTACTCTGCAGGTGGGGCCAGGGCTGGTTTTCCTGCTTTTTGAACACGCCTTCCTGGGCCGTGGGATCATCCTGCAGACGGTGACACCTCTGGAGCCTCTCCTGCAGAATGTTGTTCACAAAATCTACTACCAAAAGAATATACCGGCCATAATTCCCAAGTTCATCCTGAGAGCAGAGTGCATCCAGGTAAAGCCTCTGAGGAACAGTAGCCAAAGGTGGTTCTCTGGAGCTTGGTGGCCATGAATTGTGAGAAGGAAGAGCAGTTACCCAAGTGGGCTCAAATACACATGGCAAAGCACTTGTGGGCAAGCTCCTTTCAGTGCTTGGTTTGAGCTTTCATTTTTAGTAGCCAAAAAACAAACGGGGAGGTTTAATAAAGAGGATCCCTGCAGTGGGTCATCCGTTCAGGGTGGCAGAGAGGTGCTGTCCCTCTCCTGTGGATGGGGAACTGGGGCACAAGGATTGGGCAACCTGTCCCAAGCTGCAGGAAGCCTTTGAGGGAACTAATAACTGCATCCAGATTTCCAGCATCCCAGGCTGGTGCTTTGAGATTACCCTATCTTCTTTCATGAGAACCGTGCCAAGAAATACTCCTATTGCTAAATTATCATGAGATTTGGCAACTCCTGCCCCTGCTGACAGAAGTTTTCCAGATCCTTACCACAGGAATTCATGGAAGTGGTGGGAGGTCCTTCTGGAGGTCTACAGTTCAATGCCTCAGTTAGGATGCCTTGCCAGATTCAGGTCAAACATGGCCTTGAAGGTCTCCTCCTTCAAACCAGAGAGGGTTTCACTGGCACTACAGTAAAAATTGCCAAAAGATGATTTTCAGATGCCGAAAAAACAACCCTAAATCAGACTTAGCTGAGCTAATGCTCATGTTGTATAAATACTGGCTTGATGTTTTGTATCTTACTGATGTGAATGAGCCTCACTCGTTTCTGCAGACTTCTTCACAAAGCAGAACTCCATAATCTCAGAACTCCATAATGTATGAGCAGCATTTAAGGTGCAGATGCTCAGTTTATAATGCCCTAGTTGGCTGGACCTTTGGGTACAAGGTTCAAAATCTCAGGTGGAGCAGTTCCTACCTACACAACATCTGTTTCTTTTCCAGTATCTTGTGACAGGGGCAGTTTAAGCTGAAAGTAGCTTCTTGTTTGGGAGCTACAATGGGCTGAACATCTGCTAAGTGCAGACAGAGCTGTAGCATTACCAGTTACAGATACCATGAGCAGTCCCACACTGGCCATTTGGGCGAAATGCTAACAAATCAACCCGGTATGCAGGTAGCTTACTCAGAGCTTACAGGTAGTCTGAACTACTACAAGGTAGTTCAGCATTGCCACCTGACTGAGACCTTCCTTCTCCCCCCAGTTTGAGCGGGATATAACCATCTGGAATAATAAACAGTACCTGCCCAAGCCGCTGCTGGTGAGGGAGGACTCCAGCATCCAGAAGCACCGGCGCTGGTATTCCCAGTTCTACAGTGAGAAAAGCACGAGGTCCCTGGTGCAGAAGGACCTGGAGTGGTGAGGACCCTGCTGCCCACTGTGGCCAGAGGCTCTCAGGTGGCTCCTGCCCATCCTGCCTGGTGGCAGCGGTGCTGGGCAGCATGTCAGTGTAACCAATATTGGCAGTGGCACAGGGAGCAGAGCCTGAGCTGTGGTGAGCCTCTTCTATCTTCCAAAGCTCAAAGGGTGTAATGTGCTTGCTCTTGTACCTGTGCTGCAATATATGAGCCGAGTGTGAGCTTAAGGTTGCCAGAACTGCCTTTAAAGCGCCCTTGTCTCTCACTGCTGCTATCATTTTGAGTAGTTACATGAAAAGCTTTTCTTGTGGTCTTTTATTGCCTGAAGCATCCTTTCCCAGGCAGGCCCCGCGTGGCTTTAAGCTGAAAGAGAGGAGATTGAGATGAGATTTTAGGAAGAAGCTCTTCCCTGTGAGGGTGCTGAGGCGCTGGCACAGGGTGCCCGGAGAAGCTGTGGCTGCCCCATCCCTGGCAGTGTTCGAGGCCAGGTTGGACACAGGGGCTTGGAGCAACCTCGTCTAGTGGAAGGTGTCCATGCTCTGTTGCAGGGGGTTGGGACTGGATGAGCTTTAAGGTCCCTTCCAACCCAAACCAGTCTGGGATTCTATGATTCTGCACCATCACCTTGGCTTCAGGTCTTCAGGGGAGCCTTAGCTGATGACTGCATGGCATCAGAGGTGTAACTGCAAAGCCCACAGACATAGAATCATAGAATAGTTAGGGTTGGAAAGGACCTTAAGATCATCTAGTTCCAACCCCCCTGCCATGAGCAGGGACACCACACACTAAACTATGTCGCCCAAGGCTCTGTCCAACCTAGCCTTAAACGTCTCCAGGGTTGGAGCATTCACAACTTCCTTGGGCAACCTATTCCAGTGCCTCACCACCCTCACTGTGAAGAACTTCTTCCTTATATCTAACCTCAACTTCCCCTGTTTAAGTTTAAAGCCATTACCCCTTGTCCTACTACTAGAGTCCCTAACGAAGAGGCCCTCCCCAGCATCCTTGTAGGCCCCCTTCAGATACTGGAGGGCTGCTATAAGGTCTCCACGCAGCCTTCTCTTTTCCAGGCTGAACAGCCCCAACTTTCTCAGCCTGTCTTCATACGGGAGGTGCTCTAGTCCTCTTATCATCCTCGTGGCCCTCCTCTGGACTTGCTCCAACAGCTCCATGTCCTTTTTATGTTGAGGACACCAGAACTGGACACATCTTCCTTCTCTCTGGCAGCAGGCAGGGCAGTGTGGGTTTTAGCTGCCCACCATGTCCTTACCATACCTGTGGGCTTCCTCAAGCCTACTGAGCTCTTGCATGAGTCAATTCCTTATGGAGCTAGTGCACCTAATTGGGAAGAAGAGGGACAATCCTGGTGTCCAAATCACTTCGACAACAACTCTGCAGGTCAAGAATGTGAATAAGATCCTGCTGTGGTAGCCCCTGGAATCCAGCAATACCCTGGGTACATGGTTGGCTGTGAAACTATCTCATGGTAAGACTGTCACTGTCACTGTGCATCGAAGTGGAGCTAACACATGGACACTGGCTGCAAATCTCACAAAACCTGGTCTAGATTCTCCTGCACTTTGTGCCTGCACACTCTGTATTAAAGTGCTAAATCCTGCCTTGCTGCACACCTGGAGAAGCCTGCAATCCCCATAGGCAGAGCCTGTGTTGTATAGTTAGCAGGACCCTGTGCCAAGAGCCAGCAAAAGCAATTGTGTAAATCCAGGAGGTCCCAAGGGGGCTGGGAGCTGCTGCCCTCACACACTGTGTGCCCGCCAGTGCCTTGCCAATTCTGCACTTTGTTGAGGCTTCTGCTTCCTCCTTCACCATTGAGCTGGACCAGGAATGTGCCGCCCCAGCCCTGTGCCAGTGCAGAGCCCATCCCCTGTCCTGGCAGCACCCATGTCAGCCGGTGCAAGCTTGGCCCTCACCGTTCACACCTCGCTATCGCACTGTCACTGTTTCACTATTAAATTCTTTTAAAACTTGCTCTCTTGTTCATGGGTTGTTCTTCACTGTTTTGTGGGTGTTCTTGCATGGGAGAAGTGATTCTGCAGCTGGCCTGTGCTGTCCTGCTTCAGGGACCACAGGGAATCTCCAGCATGGAACTGGAGGAGACAGCAGGAGCGTGGACAAGGAGCATTGCCCAACTCAGCTTGAGCCTCAAGGACCCAAGAGCATTAAGACATCTTAGTGGCCCTGACCAGCGTCACCTGGGGCATTCATCCACTCCCTGCCTATGGCCCCAGAGCCCCTTTTCTGCTCAGCCTTCAGTCCCTGTCCTGAGCTGTAGGAAGCCTCCAGCTCAGCTGCATATGTGCCCATGACCAGCTGATCTGAGCTCTGACCGCAGACAGACTTCCCAGCTCCACCTCCACCCTGTCCCATCACCATGGACCTAGCCAGCAATTGCTGCACTGTCTGACCTGGGCCACCCTCACCAGATCCCAGCCCTGAGCTGCAGATTGACTTGCCAGCTTGACCTCAGCCCTGCCTCTGAAGGCAGTGGGAACTTCCTTGTCTCCCAGTGAGGGAGGGGAGCAGCTGAGCATGACCTCGCGGAGGTGGGTGATGGAGAAGGAGCAAGAGGCATAAATTGCACCTACCAGGACAGAGACATTACACACCATGGCGTGGGTTAGGATGTTCTGTTCTCCCACACGTTCAAAGGGCACATGGACACCACACACACAAGTAGAGAGGTGCTGGGCTGATGCTTCCCACTCCTGTGTTCCCACTCACAGGATTTCAGGATCAACAGAACTCCAAGGCAGGCAAATTGCTGAAGATCAGAGATGGTGAGTTAAATTAACTTTGCAAGATTTATCAGTCCTGATCTTAGAGGCAACTTTGGGATACCTCCAGCAAAGTCTGAGTCCTGAGCTACTAATTTCTTTGTTACTAAGGTTAAAGTGGTTGTGTCCTGTTACGGCAAAACTGGAGAAGACAACAGGATTAACTTAAGCCTCTCATTTCTATTTGCAATCTCATTTATCCTTTTAAATGGGTCTAGCAAAAAGGACAATTTAGAGACATGGGCATGCCCAGGAGCACTGTCCTCCATCCTCTATGCCTTCTGGCCATACATTTTTCACTTCAAGTATTCAGATTTTCAATCAAATCCTAATTCCTATCTGGGATGTGAGAGCACCTGATCTCACTGCTTACTGAAATCACTTTTACATCAAATCTACTGCAAAGCTACAGCCATTCTCACTGTTACATTCTGATAGTTGTATTTATTATTGTGGTTTATCTTCACACTTGACCACTAGCCCAGTGTTTATCCAGTTGCCAGACCCATCGTCACTTCATGTCTTTAAGGTTTTGTTTTTCCCAACTAACGATTTATGACAAATTACCTAATTGTCAAGCAAAGGTTTGGGTTTTTTTCTTGTTTTCTGTGGGGTAGGTTATGGTGCTAGGTTAGAAAACCCCAAAGGTTACCACAACAGGTCAAAGGGTAACAGACAACGTACCTTGGATTTTCCAGCGGTAGGCCTGGTCTTCTCCATGTTCTTGTTCCACTTGGGACAATTCTCTGGTCATTTTTAGTCCATGGGTCTTGGAGCTCCAGACACCATCAGCAA